TTTATATTCGATTCAGAGGAATTATACATTTAAGAAGCAGGAAGTTCCATTCAAGACAAGTCCACCACACGTAATATGGCTTTAAGGTGGCCAATTCTAGTGGATGAGTCCTCTAACTCAAGAAGCAGAAAACGGTTTGGCCAGGCATGGTGGCTCCTGCCTGTAATCCTAACACTTTGGGAGGCTGAGGTGGGTCGATCTCCTGAGGTCAGGAGTTCAAGACCAGCCTGGCCAACCTGGCGAAACCCCGTCTCTACTAAAAATATAAAAATTAGCCGGTCATGGTGGCGGACGCCTATAATCTCAGCTACTCAGGAGCCTGAGGCAGGAGAATTGCTTGAACCCGGGGGTGGAGGGTGCAGTGAGCCAAAATAGCGCCACTTCACTCCAGCCTGGGTGAAAGAGTGAAACTCCTTCTCAAAACACAAACAAACAAACAAAAAATAGCTCATAGCAGCTCATGAATAGTAGAAGAAGCTGTGTGCATATGTGTGTATGTGATCATATGTATGAATGTATCTGCATGTGCCTGGGTGCTTGCACATGTGTACATGTATGTGACATCCCGACATGTCTGTGTGATTTTACGTGTGTATATGTGAGTACATGTGCACCTTTCTCTGTGTGTGATTACACGTGCACGTACATATGTAGATGGGAGCATCTGCCTCTGGCCCCGGCCCCGCACCTGGCCGCCTTCCCCATCTGGCTAGCTTCTGGCAGCCGTGCAGGCTTGGGACTGACCTTTGGAGAAGCTGGCCATGTACTTCCCCAGTGGCCTGCGTGAGAGGCTCAGGTGCAGGCCCTCTCCTCAAAAGGATTTTCCCTTTCCGCCCTCCAGGCTTCCTCAAATGTCGGGGTATGTGCATCTTTGGGTGAAGGCTCTGCAGCCCTCGAAATCTCTCTGGAGCTCAAACTCCCTGTGTTCAGCACACGTGCAGGATCCTGGCCACCTCCCACTAAAGCAGACCTGCTGGAGACTGGGAGGCTGTCAGCCAGACGTGCCCTGAAGGATGAACCCAAAGCCAGGTGGAGGTCAGGAGAACAGTCCTGAAGTGGGGATGTGAGCTGCACGTGAGGGGAGGAGGCCAGCCAGGGGGACTGTGGAGAGGCTCCCCCCAACCTTGCCCAGGCCCTTCCCTGTCCTGCACAACCCCTAGACTGTCCCTCCTTCCCTGCTCCTTGGAGAGGTGAGCTTCAATCCCATGTCTGCAGTCCTGGGCCTCTGGTGCTGGAAATCAGTACGACTAGTAACACCCGGTTTTACCTGTGGAAGCACCAGTAATTCTGGTCTGTGCGGTGAGCCTGAGCGTGGTGGGTGAAGAGTGGGGTCCTCTTCTAGGCTGTCTACGTGCATTTACTAAGGGCCCTATGGGAAGATGCCTTCCCTCTGAGAAGTGAGCACTTTTGGAGAATTTTGCAGCTAGAACAGGCTACAGGGGAAGCTCCTCTGGGCCGTGGCCTTCAGTTACCTGCCACTTGGAGGCAAAATACGAATAGTTTTCCTTTGGGTTGGTGGTTATTCTCCAGGGTCAGTTATTCAAAGCTGCGCAGGGTTACTATTCATCATGTTGGAGGTGGCATCATTCTCTTTAAGAGTTTTGAGAGTTACGGCATGGGCTCTTCAGCTTGCCTGTTTGCACTTTCCGGGAAGAGCACGTGGCGGGAGCTGGCACTAGCTTCTGGGTGGGGCACAGGAGATGTGGGGGGGACGCCGAGGAAAAGCCCAGGCGCTGGAGAGAGGAGGAGACGGAGGAGGCACCTGCTGCCCTCGGGCATCTGCATGCTGGCCTGTGGTGACTGCGTAGCTTTCTGCATCTGTAAAGGTGGGTGACGACTCCGCACTAAGCCTTTTTTGCCCGCTTTGGCTGAAACCCTACCCAAGTTTGGAGAATTCCCTGTGACATGGGCTTGGTGGAAAGCTGAGCCAGCTTCCCAGTGCAGACTATGGAAGTGCAAACGCTCGCTGCAGTGGGTTGAATTGTGTCCCCCCAGAAAGATCTGGTCACAGCCTGCTCCCTGGACTTGTGAATGAATGGGCCCTGACTTAGAGGTACGTCTGTGCAGATATAATCCTTCAGGGATCTTGAGATGGGCCCACCCTAGATTTAGGTGGTCTCAAAATTCAAAGAGACGCATCTTTATAAGACCTGGCAGAGACAGCTTGGTGACACAGAGACATGGGAGAATGCCATCATGTGATGACACAGGCGGAGATTAGAGTGATGCAGTGTTCCGAACTCAGGAGTGGCAAAGATTGCCGACAGCCATGTGGGTGTAAGACAGAGGCTTGGAGCCTGCGCCCCTCACAGCCTCCAGAAGGAGCCAGGCCTGCTCACGCCTTGATTTCAGACTTCTGGCCTGCAGAGCTGCGGGAGAACCCATTTTTGTTGCTTAAGTTTCCCGGTCTGTGGGGCTTTGTGCGGCAGCCTCAGCACACTCACAGGCTCCCTTGGTCGGGCCTGCCTTGTAGCTAGATCGTTGGCGCATGGTCTGGCTCTGTCTAGATTTTTAACCTGAAGCCAGTGACCTGGAGGAGCAGCCTGATGTCTGCATAAGCGGCTATGGAGCCTCGAGGAGGGGCCTAGGTCCGGAGCGAGGAGTGCAGGGGAGTTGGTGTGCATCTGGGATTCAGAGACGGCAGCACGGCCATATGCACAGCGTCAGCTCTGCACGGGATTTGGGGAATTGTTGCTGCACAGCTCCAAGCCCTCCTGGGGATCCGGGAGCTTCCCAAAATCCTTTAGGAAAAAACTCCTTTCCTGCTGAAAGCAGCCACAATCAGCTTCTGCTGCTTTCTAACCTGTGTTATTAAGGAACCCTCACGGAGTGCCTGGTCCTCTTCGGCCAGCTATGCAGGGAGGTGACAGATCCCAGCAGGACAGGTAGCAGGCAGCTAGAGCAGCCCAGCCAGGACCCTGGGTGCCAGTCCCAGCTGTATTTGTTTTCTAATTTGCTGAGTGTTCTTGAGGTTACTTAACCTCTCTGTGGCTTCCTTGTCAACAATGGGGAAAACGAAACCGTGATGAAGATCCAGTGACTACATGCTTTTTAAAAACCGTCAACACACTTTGAAAAGTATAAATCTGACTATGCAAATCGTGTTTCTACTAATTTAGATGAGTCCGTTTTTGCATGATCCTGATTGCTTTTCTTGAAAATTTACAAGCAACACAAGCAAAATAGGAAAAGCGACATTTAGTTGGGTGTGGTGGCTCATGCCTGTAATCCAGCATTTTAGGAGACTGAGGTGGGTGGATCACCTGTGGTCAGGAGTTCGAGACCAGGCTAACCAACATATAGTGAAACCCTATTTGTACTAAAAAATACAAAATTAGCTGGACGTGGTGGCAGGTGCCCGTAATCCCAGCTACTTGGGAGGCTGAGGCAGGAGAATCACTTGAATCCAGGAGGCAAAGGTTGTAGTGAGCCAAGATTGCACTATTGCACTCCAGCCTGGGCAACAAAGCAAGACTCTTCCGTCAGGAAGCAAGGAAGGGAGGGAGGGCAGGAGGGAGGGAGGGAGGGAAACAGAAAGAGCAACATTCAGTCAATCAGGCAGATATTTTTTGGTGACTCTGCAACCCTTAATGGCCTCCTGTCTGGATCATTTATTCAGTTCCTAAGTTGGTAAATATGGTCCCTGTTAATCATTAACATTTGCCTTGTTAACAAAGAGTTCGCTTGTCGAGCTGTGAGTTAAACAGAATTGGGAGGCCTGTGGAATTCATGCATTGATCTTGATATTATGGATGACAACCAAAGGGATGGGTGACTGAAGTTGTGTTCTTCCCAGAATTTGAGCTTTTTGGTCATTGAATCAGGACTTGAATCGACACTCCGTGGCTCACTAGTCCTTCTTCTGGTTTTCTTTTGTGGTGATGGGAGGCTGTGTTAGGCTGCTCTTTTGCTGCTATAAAGAGAGACCCGAGGCCGGGCAATTTATAAAGCAAAGAGGTCCAATGGGCTCCCGGATCTGTGGGCTTTTCAGGAAGCCTGGTGCTGCCATCTGCTTGGCTTCTGGGGGGGCCTCGAGAACGTCCAATCACGGTGGAAGGCGACGGGGAAGCAGGAGGGTAGAGAGGTGCCACTCGCTTTTAAACAAGCAGATCTTGCGAGAACTCACTGCCTCGAGGACAGCACCGCGCCATTCAGGAGGATCTGCCTTGCTGACCCAAACCCTCCCACCCGGCTCCACCCCCAACACTGCGAATGACATTTCAACATGAGATTTGGAGGGGACGCACATCCAGACTGTATCAGAAACCAGACATAACAACTTCGTAGAAAATTCCAAAATTGTGACCCACAGGGTGCAGCTCAGTGTGCAGAGAATGTCTTCATTTACACAAAAAGAGACACAGACAAGGCCGGGCATGGTGGCTCACGCCTGTAATCTCAGCACTTTGGGAGGCAGAGGCGGGCAGATCACCTGAGGTCGGGAGTTCAAGACCAGCCTGACCAACATGGAGAAACCCTGTCTCTACTTAAAAAATACAAAATTAGGCGGGTGTGGTGGTACACACCTGTAATCCCAGCTACTCGGGAGGCTGAGGCAAGGAGAATTGCTTGAACCTGGGAGGAGGAGGTTGTGGTGAGCTGAGATCCCGCCGTTGCACTCTAGCCTGGGCAACAAGAGTGAAACTCTTGTCTCAAAAAAAAAAAAAAAAAAAAAAAAAAAAAAGAGAGAGACAGACAAGACACTCAGCAGAGGTTCTCAGAGGGGCTAAGCGTGGGAGGAGGGGGGTTTCATGCATTCATTTTTACTCTTTGGGGCTGCAGGAATGCTTTATACCATGAGCTGCATTTCTTTTAAAATAGAAATAAAATGCTTAGTCACTGTGCTAGCCTTTGTTAACATCAAAGGTAATTTTCCAGCATTTCACAGAGAAAAGATGTTCGCATTTACCTTCAGCACCGAACTCCTCCCTGTTCAAGTGTTTAATTTGAATAGAGGTTAAAGGACAGAGAAGCAAAAAGGAAACAAAAACCTCACTCACATTCCACGCGTTTCTCTAGCACGGCCAAGTGATTTGCGACCTCAGCTTTCAGTTCATTGATTTTGAATGCTCTAGGAATGAAAAGAGAGAGGAAAAATAACCCATGGGGAGGAATCAGGGGGTGCATTTGCCAAGCTGGTGGGCACATTTACTTCTGCAGACCTGAGTAGGGGACCCAGGCTTTCTGGGGAGGACACGTGGTCCTCCCTTTGCTCATGCTGCTGAGATGGTCCAGTCCTGGCGCCCTCCCTGGATGGCACACACACCTTCGGAGGACGTGTTGTGTTCTCTGGAGGCTCCAGCCCAGTCAAACAATCTGAAATTTTTTTTTTTTTTTTTGAGATGGAGTTTCACTCTTGTTGCCCAGGCTGGAGTGCAATGGTGCGATCTTGGCTCACCGCAACCTCCGCCTCCCGGGCTCAAGCGATTCTCCTGCCTCAGCCTCCTGAGTAGCTGGGATTACAGGCATGTGCCACCATGCCCGGCTAATACTGTATTTTTAGTAGAGATGGGGTTTCTCCATGTTGGTCAGGCTTGTCTCAAACTCCCGACCTCAGGTGATCTGCCCGCCTCAGCCTCCCAAAGTGCTGGGATTACAGGTGTGAGCCACCGTGCCCGGCCAATTTGAAAGTTTTTAAAAATTGTACCCATCTGCCCTTTTCACCATTTTAATTAACCTAGGCAGTAAGACACCACAGAAAAGTCAGTCTTGAAAATGTGGTGGAATGACTCAGATGAAAAGGCAGTCCCCTAACTACATAGAAGCTCAGTGAGAAAGCTTATTTTACAACAGAGCCAAGTCTTAGAGATGGTTCTCCGACCCCGGAAGAGCCGGTGGAGGACGTTCTTGACCGCATGAGCTCACATTCTAATGCACCCACTCCACACCATCTTAGGTCTAAGGTGAGCATTTCCTGGGCCCCATCCAAGCTGGTTTAGTTACAGAAGCTGTGCGGGAGGCTCCTCCAGGCAGGAGAGACAGCCATGCCTGGCGGCCAAGGCCAGCCTCTGTGCCGAGGCCCACCCTCGCTCTTAGAGAAAGCAGTGCCCATCTCTGGCTGGTTGTAAGTTCAGAAGACTCTGTACCTTGAGAACTGCTCTGCAACCTGCGCCAGCACACTCTGGATCAGTTCTTCTTTCTCTAGAGGCCAAAGAAAAAAGACAGATGGAACACGGACAAGAGGAAAAGACGCGTAGGCCATGGCGGCCCGAATCCCACGTGTTGGGACGCAGAGGCTGTGGCGGAGGAGCTGCCTATTACCTGAAGGCATGCGCCGGCCTTCCTGGCAGCAGCCCGGGGCTTCTCTGGACCTGGGCTCTTTCAAATGCTCCTTCCCTCCGGTGCGGCTCCAGGCCCATAGCCCATCTGTGCCTCAGTGGCCTCTCAGCAGCCTGGCAGGGCTTGTGGTTCTCCTGCCCTCGCACCAGCTATAAAAAGCAGGCAGGACTGGGTTTCTAGACACAGGAAGCTTCCTCTTAGTGCCCAGGTCTATTTTATGGGGGCAATTACTGTGACAATGTGAGTTCAAGGCACGTCTCAACACAGAACATGGTGTTCTCACGGCGGGTCTGCGGAGAGGAAGCAGGCCCGGGTCGAAGGAGTTTCTTCTCCCTTTGTTGCCTGGCCCGTAAAACTGGGCTGGGTGACTGGTTTTACAAGGTCCAGGTCCCAGGCGAAATGGAACCTGTCTGCTTTCCCGTTTCCTGACCAGGCCCAATGCCAGATACCGCCTAGGAAGCTGTAGATGCCCACAGGGCTGTCCCTTTCAGCATGGCGACATGCTGAGGAAGGGCGAGGTCTCTACTAGGTTCTCATGCCCCAGAACACCGAGAACCTACACCACGAGGCTTAGTTGTAAGTTTGAGTAATTTTTTTTTTTTTTTGAGATAGAGTCTCACTCTGTCACCAGGCTGGAATGCAGTGGTATGATCTTGACTCACTGCAACCTCTGCCTCCCGGGTTCAAGCGATTCCCCTGCCTCAGCCTCCCAAGTAGCTGGGATCACAAGTGCTCGCCACCACACCCAGCTGGTTTTTGTATTTTTAGGAGATTTGGGGTTTCACCATGTTGGCCAGGATGGTCTCCATCTCCTGACCTCGTGATCTGTCCACCTCGGCCTCCCAAAGTGCAGGGATTACAGGCGTGAGCCACTGTACCTGGCCAAGTTTGCGTAATCTTCTACGCTGACTTGATGTCTAATCCTCCATTATAACCAAAACAAATAAAACCAAAGCTGCCAAACAAGAATCTAACTTGGCAATGGGGCTCAAAAGCTAAAAATGTTCACAAGTGGCTGGGTGCAGTGGCTCACGCCTGTAATCCCAGCACTTTGGGAGGCTGAGGCGGGTGGACCACCTGAGGTCAGGAGTTCGAGACCAGCCTGGCCAACATGGTGAAACCCTGACTCTACTAAAAATACAAAAATTAGCTGGGCATGGTGGCGGGCGCCTGTAATCCCAGCTCCTGGGGAGGCCGAGGCAGGAGAATCGCTTGAACCCGGGAGGCAGAGGCTGCAACAGAAGCAAGACTCTATCTCAAAAAAAAAAAAAAAAAAAAAAAAAAAATGTTCACAAGCACTGACCCAGGTCCCATTTCCAGGAAATGATCACACATGTACACAGAGGCTGTTCATCACAGTGTTATTTAACGTAGAGGAAACGGTAACAAACTGCCTGCCCACCCGATGGAGATTCGTTAAATAAATGATGAGATAACTGTATCATCAGACATATATCTGGAATGGTATTCTACTATTAGAAATAATATTTTGAAAAATGTTCATGTCTGTTGTTAAAGTACAAGAAAAAAAGATTTTAAAACAGTAAATCAGAGTGAACCTGATTCTGAAGACACACTGGGAGAGTGTCCACCAAAGTAATGTAGTAGTCATCTTCAGTTGTTAAGTTTTATTACCTTTTATTTTAAAATTCTTGCTTCCCTATACCTTATGCATTCCCCCCTTTTCTTATACATTTTCTATAATTAAGATATTCATATCATTTAAACATTTTTAAAAAAACGAATCAGTTTAAATTAACTTCGCAACACCTCATCATGTCACCTGTCAGATGAGAGGGTAGACCACATGACCCCAGGTTTCCTCTGGCTTTAGCACTGTATGACGTAATTATAAGAAGAAAAATAACATTTTGTTATATCTCTTGAAACTACAAGCATATAAATGTCAGCCAGAAAGTTTTCATACAGCCATACGTTGAACTGGTGTGGGCTCCAGGCCCTCACCTCCAGAAAGGCCCTCACTTACTAGGAAAGAAAAGTAGATCCCATTAACAAGAATCATCACAGGGTTTCACAGGCCAGTTGGTGAACTCAGCAGGGGTTTAGATCACTTAGGAATTCTTTGGAAAGAGTAGTGTATCATACAACCTTTGATCGTGAATGATCTCAGAGTCTTGAGGTATATTTAGAAGTCCGTTAGACGATAAATATTTAGAGACCATGTCACTCAACAGCAGCAGAATGCTGCATTCATGTCAGGTGCCTACAGAGCATACACCGCAATAGACCATATCCTGGGCCATAAAGGAAACCTCAGCAAATTTAAAAGAACTGAAGCCATACACAGTATGTTCTCTGACCGCAACAGAAACTAGAAATCAGTAACAGAAATATAGTAGAAAAATCTCCAAACACTTGGAAACTTAACAACTTACTTCTAAGTAACTTAAGGGTCAAAGAGGAAGTCTCAAGGGAAAATTAAAAAGACATTAAAAACAAATGAAAATGAAAATACCACACAAACTTTAGCTGTGAGACACAACTAAAGCAATGCTGAGAGGGAAATTTACAGCACTATGTGCTTCCATTAGAAGAGAGAAAAAGTCTCAACTCAATAAGCCAAGATCCCACCATGGGAACCCAGGAACAGAAGAGCAAAGTAAACCTACAACGATAGCAAAGGAAGGAAAGAAGGAAGGAAGGTGGGAAATCACAAAGACAGGGAATAGAAATCCCAGTAATAGAAAACAGAAAAACGATGGAGAAAATCAACAAAACAGAGCTATTATTTGAAAATAACAAATCGTCAAACTTCTAGCAAGGCTGACAAAGAAACCAGGAGGGAGAAGACACAGATTGTCAATATCAGGAATTAAGAGGCAACATCACTACAGACCCTGCAACCATCAAAAGGATAATAAGGGAACACTACAGATGCCTCTGCTCACAGAAAACTGACGTCTTCAATCAAATGGACCAATTCCTAGAGAGGCATGAAGTACTGTAACTCATTCAATAGGAAGCAGGTAATTTAAAACAGCCTGAAACTATTAGCAAAAGTCAATTTCTGATTTTAAAACTTCCCAAAATGAAATGTCCATGCCAAGATGCTTCTAAACATTTAATAGAAAATTCTACCAAATGTTTAAAAAGTCAATGTGATTCTGAACCATACCTTTCAGAAAACAGAAAAGGAGGGAACACTACTATTCTTTTTTTTTTTTGAGATGGAGTCTCACTCTGAACAGGAGTGCAGTGGTGCCGTCCCGGCTCACTGCAGCCTCTGCCTCCTGGGTTCAAGCGATTCTCCTGCCTCAGCCTCCTGAGTAGCTGGGATTATAGGTGCCCACCACCAAGCCTGGCTAATTTTTATATTTTTAGTAGAGATGAGATTTCACCATTTTAGCCAGGCTGGTCTTGAACTCCTGGCCTTAAGTGATCTGCCCACCTTGACCTCCCAAAGCACTAGGATTACAGGCGTGAGCCACTGCGCCTGGGCCCCATTCATTTTATGAAGTTAGTATTACCCTGATACCAAATGCAGACGAGAAACAACAACAAAAAGAAAACTACATGCTGACATCCCTCATGGATATAGATACAAAAATCGCTAACAAAATAGCAAGCAGAATTCAGTCACGTGTAAAAATAACTGCACATCAAGATTGAGTGCGGTTTATTCCAGGGATATAAGGTTGGTTCAATATTTGGAAACCAATCAATGTAAATCTCCAATCAACAGGCTAAAGAAGAAAAATCACATGATCATATCAACTAATTCTTAAAAAAAATCTGACAAAATTCAACACATGTTCATGAGAAAACTCTCTTAAAGTTAGGAATGGAGGAGAACTTCTTCAAATTGATTAAAAGCATCAACCCGCTGGCATGGTGGCTCATGCCTGTAATCCCAGCACTTTGGGAGGCAGATGCAGGTCAATCACCTTAGGTCAGGAGTTCAAGACCAGTCTGGCCAACATGGTGAAACTCCGTCTCTACTAAATATGCAAATATTCGCTGGGCGTGGTAGTGGCAGGCACCTGTAATCTCAGCTCCTCAGGGAGCCGAGGCAGGAGAATTGCTTGAACACAGGAGGTGGAGGTTGCAGTGAGCCGAGATTGCACTATTGTGCTCCAGCCTAGGCAACAAGAGCGAGAAAAAAAAAAGCATCAACCATAACCTTACAGCTAACATTATACAGTCATTCCTTGGTGTCCCTGAGGGATTGGTTCCAGGACTCCCCGAAAAGGATGCTGAAATCCAAGGATACTCAAATTCCTTATATAAAATGGTGTCATATTTGCATATAACCTATACACATCTTCCTGTACACTCTACATCATCGTTAGGTTACTCAGAATACCTAATACGATGTGAATGTTACGTGAATAGTTGCTATACTGTATTGTTTGCTTGTTTGTATTTTTAATTGTTATTAAAATATTTCTGATCAGTGGTCGGTTGGATATATGGATATGGAACACACAGATAGAGAAGAGCCAGCTGTACTTCACAGTGAAAGACAAGTGCTTGGTGTCTAAGACCCTCATAAGGCAAGGCTATCTGCTCTCACGCCTGATAATTAACCGAGTGCTGGAAGTTCTAGCCGGTGCAATAGGCAAGAGAAAGAAATAAAAGGCAAACAGATTAGAAAGGAAGAAAGAAAACTGTCCCTGTTAGCCAATGACATGTGGTCTACATAGAAAACCCCAAGGAATCTACAAACAACAAAACACAACCCTCCTAGAACGAAGAAGAGTTTAGCAAGTTTGCAGGGTGAAAAACATACAAAATTCAATTGTATTTACAATTGTATGTACTAGCAATGACCATGCAGACACTGAAATTATAAGTAAAATACCAGCCACGCACAGTGGCTCATGCTTGTAATCCCAGCACTTAGGGAGGTTGAGGTGGGAGGATTGCTTGAGCCCAGGAGTTTGAGACCAGCCTGGAGAACAAAGAGAGAGCTCCATCTCTACAAAAACAAAACAACAACAACAACAAAAAGGCTGGGCACAGTGGTTCACGCCTGTAACCCCAGCACTTTGGGAGGCCAAGGCAGGCAAATCACGAGGTCAGGAGTTCGAGACCAGCCTGGCCAGCATGGTGAAACCCCGTCTCTATTAAAAATACAAAAAATTAGCCAGGCCTGGTAGTGTGCACCAGTAATCCCAACTACTCGGGAGGCTGAGGCAGAAGAACTGCATGAACCCAGGAGGCGGAGGTTGCAGTGAGCGGAGATCTCGCCACTGCACTCCAGCCTGGGTGACAGTGAGATTTCATCTCAAAAAAAAAAAAAAAAAAAAAAAGTTAGCCAAGCATGGTGGTATGTGCCTGTGGTTCCAGCAGTTCAGGAGGCTGAGGTGAGAGGATTGCCTGACCTTGGGAGGCTGAGGCTGCAGTGAGCCGTGATCACGCCACTGCACTCCAGCCTCAGGGACAAATACCCTATCTCAAAAACAAACAAACAAACAAATAAACACCAGTACCATTTATAATCACTCAAAAGTACCCCTAGGTGTAAAACTAACAAAACGTATGCAGAAGTTATATTGAAAACTACAAAACATTAATGAAAGAAATCAAAGAAGATAAAAACAAATGGAAAGACTGACCACGTTAATGGGTTGGAAGGCTAAGCACAGTAAATGCTCCCCACTCTGGTAAACAGGTTTTACAAAATTTCCATTGAAAGGCTAGAAGACTTTTTCTTTTTTGTAGAAATAGAGATTATTCTAACATTTAGTTAGAAAGGCAAAGGACTCACAAGAATAAAAGCAATTTTGAAAAACAACAGATAAAATGGGAGAAATCAGCCTACCTTATTTGGAGACTTATGATATAAATTTGGTTATATAAGACTGTGAGAAAGACACACAGGTAGAAAGACACACAGGTATAGCAATGGAAAGGAACAGAGAGCCTGTGACCATGTCCGTACAAACACACCCAGTTGATTTTTGACCCAGATGTAAAAGAAATTCAAGGCAGAAAAGAGAGCCTTTCAATAAATAGTGTTTGAAAAATTAGATATCCACAGGCCAACCAAAAAAAAAAAAAAGAAAGGAAAAGAGCTTTGACCTAGAATCCACAGTTTATATAAATATCAATGCAAAGTGGACCATGGACCAGAGATGGAAAATATAAAACCAGAAAACATTTAGAGAGAAAAAATAGGAGAAAATCTTCAGGGTTGTGGGTAAGACAGGAAGTTTTTAGACTTGACAGCAAAAGCACAAACCAGAAAAAGAAAAGTTGATAAACTGGACCTCATCAAAACTAAAATTTTTGCTCGAAGAAAGATCCTGTAAGAGGATGACAGGACAAGCTATGTGGTCTGGGAGAAAATATTTGCAAGACACATATCTGACAAAGACTTGCATACAGAATAAAGAAAGAATGGGCCAGGCACAGTGGCTCACGCCTGTAATCCCAGCACTTTGGGAGGCTGAGGCAGGCAGATCACCTGAGGTCGGAAGTTTGAAACCAGCCTGACCAACATGGAGAAACCCCATCTCTACTAAAAATACAAAATTAGCCAGGTGTGGTGGTGCATGCCTGCAATCCCAGGGACTCGGGAGGCTGAGGCCGGAGAATGCCCGGAATCCAGGAGGCAGAGGTTGCGGCAAACTGAGACCGCGCCATTGCACTCCAGCCTGGGCAACAAGAGTGAAACTCCATCTCAAAAAAAATAAAAAAGAATGGTCAAAACTCAATGGTAGAAAACAAAACCAGCCAATTTGAAAGCAGGAAAGAGATGAGTAGACAGGTACTGGAGAAAGTCACGGCTGGCAAGAAGCCCGTGAAAAGATGCTGAGCACCACTGGCCATTAGGAAGTGCCAATTACAACCACAGCAAAAAACCACCGCGCACCTGTCAAAATGGCCCGGATACAACACAGCGCCAACCCCAAATGCTGGAACGGATGTGGAAACATGGATCACTCACTCGTGGCTGGTGGGAATGAAAAATGGCACAGTCATTCTAAAAACAGGCTGGTAGGTTCTTCAAAAGACAGAGAAAACCGACTAACGATGCAAGCCCCGTCTGACCTAGCAATTTCAGTCCAGGGCAGAGAGATGAAAACTGAGGTCCTCACGAAGGCCTGTGCACATGTTCACGGCGGATGTATCTGTAGCAGCCGCCAATGGAAACAGTGCAGAGGCCTTTCAAGGAAGACTGGATGACTTCCGAACTCAGGTGATCCATCCAAAACGTGGTCCATCCAAACCTTGGAGTATGATTTAGAAATAAGGGAGTGAACCACGGATACAGCCGACAACCCGGATGGATGCCAGGGGATCGTGCTGGGTGAAAGGAGCCAATCCCAAAGTCACCGACTGCATGTATAGAACATGCCAGAAATGACAACATCATAAAAATAAAGACCAGGGACAGGGATTGGTGGGGGAATGGAAGTGAAGCGGCGTGGCTATTAAAGAGCAGCAGGCAGGACCCCTGTGGGGACACAGTGTTCTGGACCTGGCCTGGCCAGCGTCACGGTCAGTGCCAGGCTGTGACATTGGGCTGGAGTTTTGCAAGATGTCTCCACTGGGAGAGACTGGGCAATGAATGGGCTTTCTCTGTAAGCATCCTTACAACAGCATGTGAATCTATCCTTCGAAATAAATGTATAGACAGAATGGAATAAAAGTGAAGGAAGAATTTTCCTTTGGACGTTGGAGATGGAACCCTTCAAGCGTGACAGTGTTTGTGCGGCTGCATCTCATTTCCACCACAAGTAGCCATCACTTGCATGCCGCTTCGCCCATTCCTTCTCTCTGCCCGGTTCAGTGCTGGGGCAGATGCTGGTATCCCAGTCCACGTCACAGCCACACCTCGCCAGCGTGCCACCCAGGCCAGCGTATCAGTTGTTCTCAGGAGGCGTACAGACACAAATCTGCGCTCCCAGTGAGAACACTCAGGGCCGGGGGCGGGGGGCACTGCCCAGGTGGTATCCCTTACACCGATGGAGTATATGGGACTCAGCACAGTGGCCTCACGGAACCGCCTCTTTAGATAATGCAAAATCTGCATTCTTTTGCTGGGGAAAAGCAGCAAAACTGCCACTGTGCGCAAAGGCCAACCACACCCACGCATCCACAAACAGAGCCGTGATCAGGAAGTGGGTGACTCCCCTCCTGACCCTAGAATCATTGGAATTCCTGCTGTGGCCGCAGTTTCCTCCCAGGGGAGTCCGGAACTTAAAACAACGGTGATTTCATGCGTGTCAAGAGCTCAGGACAGTGCCAGCCCAGCCCTGGCCACGTAAGCCCGGCCTGCCTCTGCTATTGCTGTTGGCGCTATGGTGCTTCCGCACCGTGGAGGCCCGCTGATGGCCCAGGTTCCCTCTGACCTCCTTTCCTGCTTCCACCACCTCCCTGGGGTGTCGTCATCCTTGGAGTGACAGGGTGAGCTCCGGGCACCACCTCCAGGCTGTGAAGGGGTGAATCCTGCCTGCACCACCTGAATGTGGCCCTTACTCCCTCTAGTGCCTCCGGAACCCTCAGAGAGCCTGAAACCGCTGGATTTTGGGCGCAGCAAACAATTCTCAATTGCAAATGTTCATCTTCCCAAACTTTGTGGCAAAATTGCCTCATGTCAGCCAAATTTGATATTATGTATGACACCTACCTCTTTATCCTAAATGCTGCAGGACGTATATTGAATTAAAAAAAATTAAAGCATATTCAAGTCATTTCACGTTGATAATGTCTTAATAGTTTCAAGAAAACCCAGCAATGGCCTCAGGATGCTGGTAAATCACAGGTGGACACGGCAGGGTCTTTAGGGTCCCTCTGGACCTCGAAGTTTTTGAGCAAATGGGGAGAGTGCAAATAAGCCCCCAAGGGAGGGGGGGGTCAGCATTCACTCTTGCTGATCTGGGTGACGGAAACCGAGGGAGAGCAAGCTGATATTCACAGGCAACTCACATGTTCTCCAAAGGAAACTGTCCCACAAGAACAACCAATAAAATATCTAAAAGTGCCCCAGAAAGTCTGCATGCTAGAGTGGATTTCAAGGATGCTGCTGCAAGCTAATGGGGATTTACCTCTAGACACCAATGACTTTAATAAAGGCAGATTTGACTACACTGAGGATCAATCAGTTATAACAGCGATTTTAGGTAGGCTCCTCTTAAGCCTCAACTCCTGGCTGCTTCCTGCCTGCACATACCTGGGTTCGTTAAAGTGAGCTCACCTGGGTGCTGCTCCTGCTGGTCTCTTCGCCTGACAAGCACCTGCAGGGAATGCTGGGCGGGGCTGACAGAGTTGTCTGCATATCATAGGAGACTTTAGGTTTGTTCCAGGGCAATCCTGGAGTCTGGCAGAGTCCGGGTCCTGTTTTTAGATGCTGCCAGATCAGGCCAGCTTTGGGCCATGGGTTTGCAATAGAGGGGCCCAGGGGACTGGAATGAAGCAAATCTCTGGAGGGACTGAGGAGGGGCCTGTGGGCTGCCAGCCTCATTCCCAGGCAGGACGCAGCCTTGTGGGTGGCAGGATGGACATCCCGCCCCATGGTCATACGTGTCCAGGGCACGGCTGCCCCCACCCCACATGGTGCCCAGAAGCCACTGCCTGACTCTACCTTGGGCTGAGCGAACAGTTCCAGCCTCTGCCTCGCCCACTTCTTCCAGGAATTGTTTACTTGTTTCAGGCAAATCCTGAGTCTACCCAGCGCAGAATGACATGAAATTTGATTTAACTGATCGCTAGCACAGCCTGACCTATAATTCTGATTCTAAAGATTAGTTTAATGTAATAAGCTAATTTGGTTGGCTAGCCAGCTGATTTGCGTATCTCCTTTTTATCTTACGCTAAAGAGAATAGTCACACAACAGCCGTTCTTCCGTCCTCGTCCTCTGTGCACCTGAGCTAACGGGAATGCGTACTTTTCTCCCCTAGGCAAATGAAAGCACACACGGCCCTAGCAATATAACATGCTGGCCCCCAGAGGGGTGCACTGAGGGAGGGGACCTAGGAACATCAGCATGGGCATTACCATCCCAAGCATCTGACCTGCAAGAGTAGAGCAAATAACATCACAAGGGTGTGGGCATGTGGCCTGGGAGCTCCCGCACATCCGTTCCATTGCCCTTGATAGTCATCACTGCACACCATCCCTGGGCTTAGATTTGCATGCTGTGAGTATGATGCAATGAGCCATGCTCCCCCTTGTCTGTCCTGACCTGCAGCATCAGGGTGGGGTGCTGAGCACCCTCCAGTGAATCTATGCTCAGCAGACACTTCCCAAGCATTAGAAAAAATACCTCTGCTATCCTTTCAGAAAGAGATATCTTATTTTTGCATTAGGGAAAATAATTTGCATCACTTGGCCCCTAAGAGATAAGCACTCCAGGCGTCCTGAAGATTGTGGAGGGTGGGGGCAGGGTGCCTTTATTTCTGCTCTGGTCCAACCTCCAATCCCTGAGAGCCAGGGCCCTGTGGAGGAAGGGCTGGCAGGCTTCCCTGTCAGTGAGGGGTGGGGGGGGGCATGTCCCTCTTCCTGGGAAGCAAACTCACCTGTTTGTCCCACTGTTGCCCTCTCCTGACCCCTGCAACCGCCCTTGAACCACACAACTGGCTGAGGACGTTCTCGCTCCGGGAACAGTCACGGGCAATTCGCTGTTTATGGACATCATAAAATAGACATTCAGATCAAGGAGGACATTTCCTTTATGGCCCAGGAACACAATAAAGTTATATGATTAACAGTGACCTTAAAGGCACAGGAGCCCTTCCTCCTGCCAAGGGATTGCATGTCTATCAGCAGCTAAAGGAATAGCCCAGATCACTGGCGTTTCGACCACTCAGATGTGACGAAGAAAGCAGAATTGACCGAAGACCCTGGTGACCAAATGTGAAGTTTTGGAGAGTGTCTGCTCTGTCATTTCAGGTTCACCTCAGGGGCAGGCACTGGACTGAGTTTCTTCCCTTTGTTTTTTGGAGAGGGGAATTTCATGTTTTGTAAAGTTTACCCTTGACTGGGTGCAATTTCTCCCTATGACCTCCTCTCTTCCTTAGGATTAGTTTGTAGGCAGAAAAATGCCATGAAGCTGGCAGCGTCTGGGGCAGCCAGCAGGCACTTCCCTTTCCTGTTGTAAAGGCACTGTGACATCTGTAAGGAGCTGTAACTATGCTCCGGGTGCTGTTCTAGGCGGTTCGTGCAGGTTAGCTCAGTCGTTCTTATAACCCGCAGGGGCTGCGTGACACTGAGAGGCCAAGTCACGGCATCGTCAATTCTGACCTGCCCTCCTCCACTCAGGCTCCTTTATAGGGTCGCAAAGACGGGACAGAGCTGCACTTGCCCATGACAGGGAAGACATTCTGCACATGCTTTCCCTCCGGAAAACCCCAGAGATACTTTTTTTGTGTGTGTGGCTTCTTGCCCACGGGGAGGGTGTGGCTATGAAAGCTTCTTGCCTCTAAAGGAGGGTGTGGGTATGAAAACCCAAATAGATGTGGCCGGAGGAGTTTGAATTTGGGAGCTAGCAGCTGATTCTACACACTGCAGGGACTTTGTCCGTTATCCGCCGGCCTGTGTGTGTCACTAACCTGATAAACCTATGGGAGAGGTTAATTATGGTGAAGCCAAAGGAAATCAGCTCTGGCTCTACGTGTCTGGGGCTTCGACTCTGCACCAAATGACCCCACAGACTAGTTCCAGGAAGGATTCTGTCAGGATAAACTATGATCCAATAAACTAACTGATTATGGCACAAATGACACAATGTTTACAAAAACCTAGTAAAGACTGAGTCATTTTTGCAAACCAAAGGTTTTACTACATCTGTAGACTTTGACAGGTTGTACACAGCTGCAACGTGTGTAGCAAGAGAAATTAAAAGAGCCAACTGATTGCTGTAATAACAAGGCTGGAAACAAGACAAATATCCATCAGTAGGATACGCAATAGTACGTCTGCAAAATGAAGTCCTATGCTGCTATCAAAGAATATTTCTTTTTCTTTTTTTCTGAGATGGAGTCTCACACTGTCATCCAGGCTGGAGGGCAGTGGTGCCATCTCGGCTCACTGCAGCCTCTGGCTCCCAAGTTCAAGGGATTCTCCTGCCTCAGCCTCCTGAGTGGCTGGGATTACAGGTGTGCGCCACCACAGCCCACTGTTTTTTTTTTTTTTTTTTTTTGTATTGTTTTAGTAGAGACAGGATTTCACCGTGTTGGTCAGGCTGGTCTTGAACTCCTGACCTCAGGTGATCCACCCACCCTGGCCTCCCAAAGTGCTGGGATTTCAGGCATGAGCCACCATGCTTGGCCTAGAATGGAAGAATATCCTCTTTCCCGCTATAGAGTGACCTTATAATATACACGGCTAAAACTTAAGCAAAAAGTTCCAAGTTGATGTGTCAGATGACAGAGTTTTAGGTTGTCAGAGAGGATGGAAATGGAAAGGAGAGTTCACAAAGGAGGAAGCCGTGGTGCTGGGACCCACATTCTGTACAAACGACCCTGTTTCTGTTCCTTGGTGGGTCCCTGAATTACACGTGTGTGGGCCTAGTGTGGCGGAGATCCCAGCTCCTGCTGTGGAGGAGACAAAGTTTGGAGTTTAAGTGTAGTCCAGTTAGAGGCGCATGATAAATACTGCAGGCTTCCTACAAAAACCACAGAAGAGTCACTCTGGAGATCCACCCTAACAAAGCATAAAACCAGGCCGCCAAGGTCGAGGTGGTCGGTCAGTAACGTAACTGACTGCTAGAGCAAAATTAACACACTTCAGAGGATGATAAAATCCAGCGTCTCTACTAGGTGTTATTCATGATCTTAGTCTACAATAGAAAACAGACATGCAAAGAAACAGGAAAATGTGACCCACGGTCAAGAGAAAATCACGAAAATCACTCATCAGATGCCCCGGACGCATGTCAACTCAGATGCTGAATGAGCTAACAAAGACTTTAATGCAGCAATTGTGAGTACGTCCAAGTACCTAAACAAAAAAGATGTCGGTAAATAGTAAACCTTTGGGAGTCCCAAGAGAGCAATCTACAAAAAAGAATCAAGTGGAAATTTTAGAATTTTAAAGTATAATAGCTGAAATTAAAAATTCACGGATCAGCTTACAGCAGTTTGGAGTCAGTGGAAGAGTCAGGGAAATCAAGCACAGATCAATAGAAATTACCCAATTTGGCCGGGCGCAGTGGCTCACGCCTGTAATCCCAGCACTTTGGGAGGCTGAGGTGGGCAGATCATGAGGCCAGAAGATCGAAACTATCCTGGCTAACACAACAAAACCCAGTCTCTACCAAAAATACAAAAAATTTGCCGAGCGTGGTAGCACACACCTGTAGTCTCAGCTATCTGGGAGGCTGAGGCAGGAGAATCACTTGAACTGGGGAGGCAGAGGTTGCAGTGAGCCGAGATTACACCACAGCACTCCAGCCTGGGCAACAGAGCAAGACTCCGCTCCCCCTGCCCACCCACCCCCCAACCCCGCAAAAAAAGAGAAATTACCCGATTTGAAGGGCAGAGAAAAAAAAGATTATTGAAAAACCCAAAGCCACAGTCACTTGAAAGATAATAGTGAACTTTCTAATATATATGTCTTTAGAGAGAAAGAATAGCGCATATAACACACTTAAAGAAACAATGGCTGAATATTTTGCAAATTTGCTGAAAATGTAAATTCATAGTCCATTTAAACTCAATGAACATGAAGAAGAATAAATAAGAAAATGAGACTGAGGCACATCACAGTCCAACTGCTGAAACCTACAGACAAAGGAAAGAAATCAACAACTTGAAAGCAGCCAGAGGCCAGGCACCTTGGCTCATGCCTGTAATCCCAGCACTTTGGGGGCCCGAGGCGGATGAATCACCAGAGGTCAAGAGTTCAAGACCAGCCTGGCCAACATGGTGAAACCCCATCTCTACTAAAAATACAAAAAATTAGCCAGGCATGGTGGCGAGCGCCTGTAATCCCAGCTACTCAGGAGGCTGAGGCAGAAGAACTGCTGGAACCCGAGATCACGCCACTGCAGTCCAGCCTGGGCAACAAGAGCGAAACTGTCTCAAAAACAAAAGCAAGAAAAGCAAAACTCATCAAACTGCACCCACAGGATCTGCGCACGTCAGTGCAGTCAGGCAGGACACAGCCGTGGGCAGGACACAGCCGTGGGCAGCACACAGCCGTGGGCAGGGATGGGTTGGCCTGGTTCTCACTAACGCAGAGGGCAGTCGGAATGTTTGTAGCCTTGAGGTCCTTGCAGCAATGTTCGCTGTCCTCATCTCTACTTGACTAAAGAATGCCGTCCGGGCAACCCGAAGGTGTCTGTATTACTGTTTGCCATCAGTATCTCTGACGGTGGCATGCTAAGGGCTGCTGGCTTTGTTATCTAGGCTACCCTAAAGGGAGTCAGTCTGAAAACACAATTCTGGAAATGGTTATTTTTCATGTGTACACTGCAGCCTTTTCGTTTCAGAAAGAATGCAAGCAAGGGTGACTATGGCTATGCGTGCAAAGCCTTCTACAGTGAAGCTGCACTCGATAGCAAATATGAAGAAGCATGATTACTCTCATAAGCAACATGTTGGTGCTCGGACTTCAAGCATGAACTTAGCTTTCAGGGCAGACAGAGCCAGTCCTCTGAGAGTTGTTTTAGACCTAGGAAGCACTCCTGTTCTATTAAAATTCGGCAATTCCAGAGAGGCATAACTTTAGCCATTCAAAAATGCCCTCCAGGTCGTTTTCAATGATAGCAACCGTTTACTGGGCACTTACCAAGTGGCGGGCGCTGTGCTCAGCATTTTGCATAAATTACTTCATTTATCCTTCCAAGAACCAGGCAAGGTATGCATTGTGATTTCATATTTTGCAAGGGAAATGGAGGCTCAGTGGGGTTAAGTAGCTCTCCTAAGGCTACCTCATCCAAATGACGAATGAGTATGGGGGGCGCTGACCCCTCTTGGATTCCTCTTTCCAAGTCTCAGGTTCTCAGTCTGAGACCCTCAAAAGCCCATGGGAGACAAGGAGCTGGGGGCTAGTGGCGCATTTAGAAGCCAACCCCGGAAGCTCTGGGAGTGAGTGGTGGATTGAGGTGTGGAAGGGAAGAGAGCTCCCAGAAGGTCAGCTGACGTGCAGGTGGCACAGGTGACCGTGGTGGAGCCCCTCACTCTGAGCTTCTTTTGAGCAGTTGCATAGATGATGTCAGAGAACAGTCCCACTGTGGAGCAAGGAAGCTGGGCCCCTGTCCCTCAGCTCCCTCTCACCGGGAGGATGACCTCAGGGCGGGCACTCCCCAGCACTTCTTGGTGTGCCCAGCACAGAGAAGGTCCTCAGGCAGGGGGACTCAGGAATGGGAGGAGGCAGCCATTAGCGGGGAAGGGACCTGCCAGCCAGGCTGCAGGGACCTCCTGGACAGGCCAGCCTGGCGCACCGGCAACATCCCGCACCCTCTGCTGTGAACTTTCAGCACTTCCCTCAGGCCCTTCCCTTCACGATGGCTAGAATTTTAAGAAATGTGAATATTTAATTTAATCCAATGTACCTCAGAATATCTCATTTCACCATGTATCTGTCACACAAAAAATTGCACACAAATGTTCACAGCAGCCTTTGTGGAAGACGCCCAAATGTCTATCAGCTGATGAATGAATAAACCAAAGGTGATGCAACCACGCCACGGAACGCCATTCAGCCACAAACACGCCGCAACATGGTGAGCCTCGAACATACTGTGCGAAGTGAAATAAGCCAGGTGGGAAAGCCCATGGATTCTGTTATGTGATTTATCCAGGACGGACGGACAGCAGGGCCTGCCAGGGGCTGTGGGGGAAGGGGATGGAGAGGGACTGCCAACAGGGACGGGATTTTCTTTTTGGGTTGATGGAAATGTTCCGGAATTAAATAGTGGTGATGGTTACACAACAAAATGAATACACTAAAAAAAACTGAGGCTGGACACTTTACTTTTTTATCTTTTTTTTTTTGAGATGGAGTCTCGCTCTGTCACCCAGGCTGAAGTGCAGTGGTGTGATCTCGGCTCACTGCAACCTCTGCCTCCGAGGTTCAAGCGATTCTCCTGCCTCAGCCTCCCAAATAGCCAGGATTATAGATGTGCACCACCACGCCTGGCGAATGTTTGTAGTTTTAGTAGAGATGGTGTTTCACTGTGTTGGCCAGGCTGGTCTCAAACTCCTGACCTCAGGTGATCCGCCCACCTTGGCCTCCCAGAGTGCTGGGATTACGGGTGTGAGCCACCATGCCTGGCCAAGGTTGTACACTTTAAAATGGTGGGCTTTATGTTATATCAATGATCTCAACCAGGAAACACGAACTCAATATAAAAAAGACTGAATTTTTATATTCTTTTTTTCATACTAAGTTTCAGAATTTGGTGTGTGTT